TGTGTGTGTGTGTGTGTGTGTGTGTGTGTGTGTGTGTGTGTGTGTGTGAGTATGAGAGAGAGAGAGTGAGAGAAGAGAGAATTTTCCATGTGATCACCTTTCCTAAGTGTTTGAGGGGCTCTGATGAGGAATTCCACATCCCCAACTCCCATTTCTTTAGCAGTGTGGGATGTCAGAAGCAACCCCTCAAACACTTTTTTTTGCCCGGGCCCTCCCATGGGAGACTATGTTGACATTCCAATATCCCTGCCAGTTTCCTTTGCAACCAAAGTGGGGTGAGCGCTCAGGGAAAAAACTGCCCTCAAGTGGAGAGTCTGGAGCAGCACAGAGTCAGGAGTGGAGAGAGGCAATGAGATGTCTTGAGAAGACAGCCCGAGCCAGGCAATAACACATACCTGTAGGCTCAGGAGGACGCAGTGTGTGGTGTCAGAAATCCAGCCTAAGCAACTTATTGGGGCCCTGTCTCAAAATAAAATTAAAAAATGAGTGAGGACAAAGCTCAGTAGTAAAACACTTGCCTAGCATACACAAGGCCCTGAGTTTAATCCTCAGTAGTGGGGCGGGGGTCCTGGATTCTGCATCCTGGTTTTCTCACTTCAGAGCTGTGTGACCCTAAGTGAGTTTACATCACCTCTCTGAGCCTCAGTGTGCTTGTCTATAAAATGAGGCTAATGGTACCTGCCTTAGTAAGTTGCAAGGATTCAGTGAGCTAATTGGTGCCCTTGGCCTAGCAATAGAAGTGACCACAAAGCACTACAGTGGCACCAAGGAAGGGCCTGTAAGCCAGCCTACGTGGAGGAGATAGGCGTGGAAGGACACACCTGAGCTAAATGTTGAAGGGTGAGCAAGAGGTAGCCAGGTTGGGGTTATGGGGCAAGAGTCAGGTCATGAGTGCCACCCATGGCCATAGTGAGGAAGCAGGAAGTTATCCTGTGGGTGGTGACTCCTATAAAACCTAAGTGAGGTTACATCCCTCCTCGGCTGACCTCAATTCAAATGAAAGCCAGTCTTTATTATGGGCACAGTGTCCTTCACAATTTGGTCTTCATTATCTCTCTATCTATCTTCTCTCTTCCATTGTTCACTCTGTTCAGGTTTCACCAGCTTCTTCACGGTTCCTCACACATGCCAAGCACAGTTCTACCTTAGGGGCCTTCGCACTGGCTATGCCCTTTGTACTCTTGCTTTAGATAGCTCACTCCTTCATTTCTATCAGGGTTCTGCTTATATGCCATTTCCTGAGGGGTGGGGAGCACCTTCCCTGACTACTTCCATCTAAAACAGCACTTTTTTCTCAGTATAGAAAAAAATAGCACTTTTAGCACTCTTGTTTTATTTTCCTTCCTAGTACTTATCCCTATCTGAGATTATAAGTTTGCTTGCTTCCTTGCTTTGTTTGTTTGTTTATAGTCTGTTTCTCCCCCTACAGTATTGCCTCCCTGAGGGAACACTCTTGTGTGTCTTGCTCATTTTGATGTTTCTAGCACCTAGCACCTGCATAGAAGGTGCTCAGTTGGTGTTCGTTGTGTGAATTATGGGGAGCTGTGTAAGAGTTTTCATGGGAGAGTGAAATAGTCAGATTCACATTTTGAAAGCTCTCTCTGACTACAGGATGGACAACACACTAGAGTCTCTGGTAGAGCTTCAGGTGAGGGCTTTATTTCAGCACTCACCTAAGAACATCCCCTGACTCCTTCAGGCCCAAAGCTTATATTGAGCACCTACTCTGGTCCAGGCTCTGTGCTCTGTGTTAGCTAGGAGATTACCAGATTCCCTTCCTGTGCTGGGATTCTGGGAGTCTTGTACACAAATAGCTGTCACGCTTTGCCAAAGCTAATCTGTGCCATAAAAAGAAGGACAGCCATGTGCTGTGTGTGGGAGCGCTGAACAGGATCAGCAATAGTTTCAGGCTGGCAGCAGGATTCAGGAGGGCTTCTTAGTGGTGATATATGCCCTAAATCTTGACGGAACCAGGATATGGGAGATTTCTCAGATTGCACATGGCAGAGGAGACGGGGATTGCGTTGCAGGTGGAAGGTAGTATATGAGCAGTTTTGGAGGTGGAAAGCTGAGGAGCGCTGGGGAGAAACAGGATCTGGGCCAGGGTGGGTGGAGTAGAGGGCTGGCAGCCAACCCTGCAGTATGGCTTAATGTTTGAGACTGTGGGCTTTGGAGTCAGACAGCCTGAATTGGAATCCTGGCTGTGTGACCATCTATATGCTACTTAAGCTTTTAGGGCCTCAGTGTCTTTATGTGTAAAAGGAAGATAAGTAACAGTACCTACCTAATGTGGTTGTTTGGAAGACTAAACAAGTTACTGATAACCAAGTTATTGGCAAGCATGAGGTGGTAAAAATAGTGCCTAAATGTGTTAGGTGCATTGTCTGTTTTATCTTGGAGAGGCCTCAAGTGCCAGAATGAGGACCTTGGGTGATAGAAGCTCTGGATGGTTCATGATTAGAGGAGACGGTTGATCATAGCTAGGCTTGAGCTGTGTGGGAGGGGAGAGGTTTGAGAGGGGTGTGTGTAGGGGATCATGATGTCCTAAGAGAGAGGAGAGGGGGGATTTGATCTGACCTGTAGAGAGTGACATCAGGAGTCCCTGAGGCCCAGAATGGGAGTGTGGGGTGGACGGTGAGCCTCTAGTCTGTTTCTGCTCTGTCCAGGCCAGCATTTGGGCAGTGTTTTGCAGTTGCGGATTAACACTGAGGAGCGTAGAGGATGAGCAGTGGGAGGGCAGAAGTTCCCAGGGCAGAATCTGGTTCCACCACATCTCAGAGCCCAGCCTCATGGCTGCAGCCTTCTCACCATACCCAGTCCCCAGCACAGAGTGCCCTGCTGTGAGGCTGTCTGCCTGCAGCAGTTCAAGCTCCTACCCTGGTAGGGAAACCCATTTCAACTACCCTACCTGGCCTCTGCCAAGTAGGGACTGGGCCCTTAACCCTTTCACCAGCCAAGACCTCCCTAAACTTGCCCCCCTCCGAAACAGACCATTCTCTGGGTCCAGCATCCCCACCCATGCCTCACCTGCCTGCTCTTTGCCTCCTGGCTTCTCCCTACCTCTGTGGCTCCTCACCACGCCTGCCTGCTCAGCTTAGGGCGCTGGGGCTCCGTCGACACCTGGGTTCCCTGGCAGCCTGGTTGCCATGGCACCATAGGAGCAGGTCTGGCAGAAAAACAGCTCTGAGTAACCTGGCAGTCCAGCCTGGGTCCCAGCTCCTGCCACTCTTCGGTCAAGACTCCTGCCTCGTTCCCCACCTGAGCTGAGGAGGCCATGAGGAGAAAAAGGAAGCTGCCCCGCAGGGCAGCCTTTTACCTGTGAGGATGCTAAATGGGAGGCACCTCCCACGACTGGAAGCCCAAGCCCTAGCCCTGCCTTTGGAGCAGCAGCTGGGGAACCCTGGGGACTGGCAGGGTTGCGACTCCAGGCTCCCAAGGGCAGGGGCGACAGACAGAGGCAGGGTTAGATTAGGCAGGGAGGCAAGATCCTAGGTGGGCAGGGTGTAGAGGTGGGTTTCAGGCTGTAGGCGACAGGACTAGGGGAGAGGTGGTATTTCCGTGCCATCTGGTCCAAGGCAGTGCTGGGGATGGCACTCGGAGGAAAATCACAGCATCACAGGCACTGTTGGGGACAGGTCCATGAAGGGATGGATCTGGAAGGGGAAGAAGTCTGGGGAGGAGGGAGCTAGCCCATCAGGGGAAGGAGAATTTGAGACTCCAGCTGTTAGCGAGCAGGAACTGTTAGGAAAAAAAAAAAGCTAGAGAGGACAGGACTGGGAGGAAACTGGTCTGAAGGAACCAGGCTGTTACGGGTGAGTAGAACTGGAGACAACACTGAGAAGGAAGAGCTTGTGGGAAAGGCAACCAAGAGGATGGGGCTGTAGAGATATTCCTCTACCCCGAGGGGGCTGAGGGGAAGTGGGGATGGGCCTGTGAAAGCAGCGAGGCATGACGGGAAGGGACTGTGGCAAAAGTGAGGCGCAGCTTGAGACTAGGACTCCTTTCTGGCTTTTAAGTGTTGGCTTCTCTATGTGGAAGCAGGGGAGGGTAAAGCCTGGTAAATCTGGCCTACTCAGTTTCAGTCCAGCTCAGCAGGCCTCTCTCCTTTTCTCGTATCCTGGCTCATCTAATCTCATCCCCACAGTGTGGAGGGTGATGCCCCAGGCAGTGACCTCAGCACAGCGGTTGATAGCCCTGGGAGCCAACCCCCCTACCGGCTGAGCCAGCTGCCCCCCACCAGCAGCCACATGGGGGGCCCTCCTGCTGGGGTGGGCCTTCCCTGGGCTCAGCGGGCACGCCTCCAGCCAGCCAGTGTCGCCCTGAGGAAGCAGGAGGAAGAGGAGATAAAGCGCTCCAAGGCCCTATCCGACAGCTATGAACTCTCCACCGACCTGCAGGATAAGAAGGTACTGAAGGGGTGGTTGTCTGGTTGGGTATGGGAGTGGGACGCAAGACAGAACCGAGGGAGGGGTTGGGATGTGGCATGAGAGGGTGACATTCAGGGAGGGATAGTGAAATTAGAGTTGAAGAATACATTCTAGGACCCTTCATGCTTCAGATGACTCGTTTGTTCACCACCCATCCACGGAGTGTGGTACTCACTCAGCAAACATTATTGAGCTCCATGCCTGGGTCCTGGAGACATAAAAATGAATGAGACCTGCACCCACTCTTCAAAAGCAGCCTAATGGGGGAAGAACACACATAATTTGACAGTCTCACATATTATAAATATATTGTTTAGCTAAACAACAACAAAGGGGAGGACACTACATTTAGTAATAAAGAAGCCTGTAAGGACATATACTGTAGCAAAATGTTAACTATGGTGTTGAGTAGGATCAGTGGAGGCAAACGTGCTATAGTGGGTTGTTTGTATCATTGAAAGCTTTAAAAGGTTCACCATCGCTCGCCTAGGTGTTTGGGTTTTAGACAATCCAACCAACCTCCCTTCATTCCCTTCCCTCCGTCCCTCCCTCTCTCCCTCCCTTCCTCCCTTCTTATCCTCTCATTCTCTTCTTTCCTGCCACTTCTTACTCTCCATTTACTTCTTCCTTTTCTTTTTTGGCTTCTCTGGAGGTTTTTTGCTGTTTTTAAATAATCAACAATATTGCTTGTAAAAAAAAAAACATGGCCCAATCCCATGGGACCAAGTGAGAAGATGGCACTGAGCACACGGCCTGGCACATTCGGGTGACTGTCAGCAGTTAGCTATGACTTGGGGTGTGCTTGAGGGCCCAGGGCCATGACACTGTGGTGACTTTCTGACCTTTTTCTCTTCGGCTCTCCCCTGCCAGGTGGAAATGCTGGAGAGAAAATATGGGGGCTCCTTCCTGAGCCGCAGGGCTGCCAGGACCATCCAGACAGCCTTCCGCCAGTACCGCATGAACAAGAATTTTGAACGGCTACGCAGTTCAGCTTCAGAGAGCCGCATGTCCCGCCGAATCATCCTTTCTAACATGCGGATGCAGTTCTCTTTTGAGGAGTACGAGAAGGCACAGAACCCCGCGTACTTCGAGGGCAAGCCTGCCTCGCTGGACGAGGGTGCCATGGCTGGTGCCCGGAGCCACCGGCTTGAACGGGGGCTCCCCTATGGAGGCTCCTGTGGTGGGGGCATCGATGGTGGTGGAAGCTCTGTCACCACATCTGGAGAGTTTTCTAATGACATCACAGAGCTAGAGGACTCCTTCTCCAAACAGGTCAGGAGCCCCCAAAAGGGTCTTTCTTCCCCATCCCCAGGTTCTGGCTGCTCCTGCTGCTTTTTACCTGTATCCCAAACTGAAAGTTGTGCTATTGAGCATTTAAAAACAATGGATTGCTAGGGTCTGAGTTGGGACTATGAGAGTGATGAGATCCTGTCTCAAAAAAAAAAATATGTGGGTGTATAGAAAAAATAAGAAAATACAACTTCTCACTGGTGTAACAGGTAATGAGTTCCTACTGGGAGCTTCATATTGTCTGTGCCTCAGATCTGGGAGGTAGAGATTATTATCCCCATTTTATAGAGGAGAACACTGAGGCTGAGACACTGGCCCTGATCCTCATTCTTTAGGACCTGCCAGTCTGGTAGGAAATAGCAGACATATGATGCATTACTATCTCCTGAAATAGACTGTGTTCGGAGGCATGATAAAATTCTGCAAGGATCAGAGAAAGCTTCTTGGAGAAAATAGCATTAGAACTGGATCTTACCAGACTGAGAAGATTGAGCAAGTTAGAGTTGGGAGGGTGCTGCTTGCATAGGCATTGACATCAACTAAAACACGCAAGAATGGGAATGTCACTGGCTGCAAAAGGGTGGGAGATCAGTCTAGACTCAGAGAGTGTCATCATACTTCTTGCCCAGGTGTACAAATCCTGGTTCTGCCATTTCCCAGCTGTGTGATGTTGGGCAGTTTACCCTCACAAACACATCATCAGTAAGATAGACATTTTGTGGTTCTGAGGATGGAACCCAGGGCCTCACACATGCTCAACAAGCACTTTGTCATTGAGTTACACACCCTGCGAGAGAAAATCTTCTTTTTAGAGGTGTTTTGAAGATTCAGTTCAATCAGGTGACAGATGAAAGTGCCTAAGGTAGGTTGTAGCTCCTAAGTACATGTCAGTTTTCTTCCTGAAACCAAGAAGGTACTTGGTAGAATTGTTGAATGAATGTAGAACTGATTGAAGCTTTATAAGAGAAGAAATCCTTTTGTTCTAAACTCTGAGCCGTGGCCCTGCCATTAGCCTGGGCATGCTTCCTTGGAACTAGTAAAGAGGTGGAGGGGAGGAAAAAAGTATTGAACAGATCTATATCATTCATCCATTCCTTCATACAGCAAAGATTTAGTTAAACATTTCTTCTGTGTCAGGCAGTGTGTCGAGCCAAGTTCCAAAAGAGAGAAATCAGGCCTGCACCCATCCTTCTAGGAAATAACTGGGACTAGAAGATCACAGTCTAGTGGAGAGATAGAGGAACCACACCTGGCCTCCAGCCCTCGGTGCTGTGCAAGTCTGATGAGGAAGTGTATTACTTATCTATTGCTGCACAGCAAAGTATCCCCAAATGTAGTAACTTAAAACTGACCTTAGAGGCTGAGTTTAAACAACAGACATTGTTTTGGTCCTTTTCTGAGGGCCAGGAAACGGAGAGCAGCAGCTGGAGAGTTTTGGGCTTAGAGTCTCTCATGAGGCTGTAGTCAAGCTGTAGGGCAGGACCCCCAAACTAGAAGGCTGTGCTGAGACTGACAAGTCTGCTCCCAAGCTTACTCATTTGGCTGTTGGCAGGAGGTTTCAGTTCCTTATTGTGTGGGCCTGAGGGAGAAAATATAAGCCTGGATGAACACTCAGGACTGAAACCGCAGTCTTTTACAAATTAATCCCAGAAGTAACATACCTTCGCTTCTACCGTATACCATGGGTCACAATGACCAACTCTGGTACAGTGTGGTACCTGATGGTATGAATATCCGCAATATCGGGAGGCAGGAATCATTGGGGCCAGTTTGAAAGCTGGATACTACCACAGGAAGGCAGAGTTCCTAGATGTGGTCCAGATTCTCAAGGCTAATTATGAATTTCCTAAGCAAGAATCACCCAAAGTTCTGGGGATCCAGAGGAAGCTGGGATTCTGGCTTTTTAGGGAGTAGGGGTGAGGCAGAGCGGGATGGCTGAGGCAGGAGGCATTATTTGCCTTGGGAAGGAGATACATATTAGAGTGTCTGAGATGGGAAGGTACTTGGTGGTCATTGGTCCCAGTTCCTGAGTGCTCGTAATGGCTCCCTGGGAGTTATTTCATAGACTGTAAAGAACTATGGGGAAGAGGAATCTCCTTACTGAGCTGACCTACCAAGATTACTGTCCCCTTTTCTTTCCCTCTTTCACTTCTCCCTACCCTTCCATATTGTTCCCTCCATCTTTCCTTCTTTCTCTCCCTTTCCCCGATCTCCTTCCCTTCTGTGCAGGTGAAGTCTCTGGCTGAATCCATCGATGAAGCCCTGAACTGCCACCCATCTGGGCCGATGTCTGAGGAGCCAGGGTCAGCCCAGCTGGAGAAGCGCGAGTCAAAGGAACAGCAAGAAGACAGCTCAGCTACATCCTTCAGTGACCTTCCGCTCTACCTGGATGACCCAGTTACTCCACCGTCTCCTGAGCGACTGCCCAGCACAGAACCCCCACCCCAAGGCCGTCCTGAGTTTTGGGCACCAGCCCCACTCCCCCCGGTTCCTCCACCAGTGCCACCAGGGACCCGGGAAGATGGTACCCGTGAGGAAGGCACCCGCCGGGGTCCTGGTTGCTTGGAATGCAGGGATTTCCGGTTGCGGGCTGCCCACCTTCCCCTGCTTACCATTGAGCCTCCTAGTGACAGCTCCGTGGACCTGAGTGATCGCTCAGATCGTGGCTCTGTCCATCGCCAGCTGGTGTATGAGGCTGATGGCTGCAGCCCCCATGGGACCCTGAAGCACAAGGGACCACCAGGCAGGGCTCCAATCCCACATCGCCACTACCCAGTCCCTGAGGGCCCAGCCCCAGCGCCACCTGGACCCCTGCCACCAGCCCCCAACAGTGGCACTGGGCCCAGTGGTGTGGCTGGAAGTCGGAGGTTGGGGAAGTGTGAGGCAGCCGGAGAGAACTCTGATGGTGGAGATAACGAGAGCCTGGAGAGCTCCAGCAATTCCAATGAGACCATCAACTGCAGCTCTGGCTCCTCTTCTCGGGACAGCCTGAGGGAGCCTCCAGCCACTAGCCTGTGCAAGCAGACTTACCAGAGGGAGACAAGGCACAGCTGGGACTCACCAGCCTTCAACAACGATGTGGTACAGAGACGGCATTACCGAATTGGCCTCAACCTCTTCAATAAGTATGTGTTTCACGTTCTAGTTTCCTCTACCCTTTCTATCCTGCTGTCGACATTCTGGTCCTCAGAATTAAGATCCAGGCAGTGACCTTGGTTCTCTGCCATCCTCTCATTTGATGGAATGGTATTTCTCCCCAATCATTTAGAGAAGGAGATTGGCGACAGTGTGGCAGAGAGACCCCCAAACATACCTAGGTTTGGGTCCTAGTGCTGCCACTGACTGGCTGTGGGATCTTGGGTGAGATGTTCCCACGAAAGGTGTCTGAGCCTTGACTCCTCCCTCCTTTACAGAAGAGATCTGGGGCACAAAGGGCCCTAGTCTGGGAAACAGGAGACCAGAACCCCTAGTTTGCTTTTGACCACTTGCTATGAAGCCCTAGGCAATGTGTGTTTCTTCCTTGGGCCTCAGCTTTTCCATGTATTGACAAGCAGGGTGTGTTTGTTTAAAGTGTTGGGAGGCTGAGCCATGTACTGGACTACTCAAATACTCAGTGATAACTCTGCTCTTTTTAGCGCCTGGTCTTGGGCCAGGTGCTTAGGAATAGGGTAGGAGTGTGGCATTTGATTACAAAATAATTAGAAAACATTAGACATAATTAGAAAATATTAGATCTAATAGAAGGAATTAGATGTAAATGCCTTACATCTTCATAGTCTATTAAACACTGCCACCTATATTTAATTTTTATAATAACTCAGCATAGTAGATAATGTCTGTTTTATGGATACGGATCTGAGGCTTGGAAGTAAAGAGGATTTTCCAAAATCATACATTTGGGAAGTGATAGATCTGAGACTCCTAGAACACCAAAATCCCTTCCAAATTTTAGCTTTATGAAGTGCTAATCTTCTGGGGCTCTGAATACGCGATAGCTCCAACCTAGATTTTGGCTTAGCTCCGTGGAAACCTAGAGAGCACCTTGTCTATAAAAGTACTCACAGAAGCTGGGTGATACCTGCCTGGGTGTGGATGTGGGACATGGAACAAAATAACCTCTTCTCTACCCTGAGGGTCTGTGACTCAGAAGCAGTTTTAGCCTGGCACTCAGGCCTTCTCTTGGGATTCCTCTGGCCCCGCTAGGAATATCACTGCTCCTGGTTTGATACTAATTTTCTTCCAACTATGGTGTAGCCCTAGTGAAGAAGGAAGTTGGAGTGAGAACACCTTTTGTTTTGGTTTTTTGTTGTTTTTCTTTTCATCCAAGAACATTTTTGGAAGCTCTGTCAAATAGGCAAGTAGTTTCGTGTCCCTGGGCCTTGGTACTTAACTGAATCATGAAGGGATTGGACCACATTGGAGATTTGACATCCTTGGTTCTTTAGGCCATGGTTAGGTGGGCCCAAAATTAGTTATAGAAACAGGAGAGAGGGCACAGTTCTAGGGGGACAGTCACCTCATCTACCTCCTCTCTTTCTGCAGGAAGCCAGAGAAGGGTATCCAGTATTTGATCGAACGAGGCTTCTTGTCAGACACACCAGTGGGAGTGGCTCACTTCATCCTGGAACGGAAAGGCCTGAGCCGGCAGATGATAGGAGAATTCCTAGGGAACCGGCAGAAGCAGTTCAACAGAGATGTGTTGGAGTGAGGACCCCAGCATGGGGCAGGCGGGCCAGGGATTCCTGGAAAAAGGAAGGCAGGAGGGAAAAAAGGGCAGCCTGTCCTTTTTGCTCAGATAAACCGTTCAAAATAGAATGAACAGACCTTCCTGCTCCCATACCCTTCTGCCCCAAAGGGGTCTGATCTCTCTTGACCCTATTCCTAAAGTATTCTGGGTGACCCTGGGCAGGATATACTCATACTGTGACCTGCTTTGGGTCTCAGTTTTCCCATTTCTGGAATTAGTTAACTGATGGAAAGGTGCCTTAATAACCACATATATCCCCTAGACTCTCTGGGGTGGATTCATTTCCTCATATGTCGTTATTCGGACCACAGGCCCCAATTTTGGAAGGGTATCAGTGGGAGTATTGAGCAGGGGAGGGTAGGTCAGAGGTTTTCTTTGGAGGAATTGAGAATGCCACACCTCCTTCTTTGTTCCTCAGTTGTGTAGTGGATGAGATGGACTTCTCCTCCATGGATCTGGATGATGCACTCCGGAAGTTCCAATCCCATATCCGGGTTCAGGGTGAGGCCCAGAAAGTGGAGCGACTCATTGAAGCTTTCAGGTGTGCCTGCTTCCCACTCCTGTCCCTCTCTACTTTGGGGGCCCTTGGAGTATATGTCTATAAGTCACTTCCTTGAGCCCCATACTCTTCTCACCATAAGGTAGAAATGATAAATCCTGTCATGCAAGACAGTTGTGAGGGTCAGAGATAGTGCATATGACATGTCTAGCTCAGCATCTGGAACATGGGCATTTAATAAATGACAACATCAGCGATAAAAGCAAGCATTATAGGGCTGGAGGTGTAGCTCAGTGGTAAGGCAGTTGCCTAGCATGCATAAGGCCCAGGGTTGTGCCATCCTTAGTGCTGCAAAAAGAGAGCGAAGGGAGGGGAGGGAGAGCAGAGGGGAGGAAAAAGGAGAGGAGAGGAGAGGAGGAGGGAAAGAGAGGAGAGGAGAAAGAGAAGCGAAGGGAAGGAAAGGAAAGGGGAGAAAAGATCAGGGCAGGGCAGAACTAACATTCATGGAATCAGGTGCCAAGCTGGGCACTTTACATGGTTATTACCTCCCCCAGTGAGGTAGGTGCTTCTATCATTATTCCCATTTTATACCCATTTTGTAGATGAGAAATCTGAAGTTAAGAGACTTCAAGTGACTTGCCTAGGATTGTACAGTAAGGCATGGAACCGGAATTTGAACTCAGCTGTGTGGACTTCATGGTCTATCCATGCCCATAACCATCATACTCCCCTGCATACTTTAGGATCAGACAGACCCGTGTCAAAATCCTGCTGTACTCCTTTGAGGTATTTAGAGGAGGAAACAGAAGTTGCTGAGAACATGTTTCCTGTGATGGGAGAAGGATTTTCTTTATAGTCAGAAAGAGTGAGTTTTCATCCTCACTTCACCATTTACAAGCTCTGTTCCCTTGAGCAAGTTACCTTACCACTTGGAAACTCAGTCACTTCATCTGTAAAATGGAACTGCTACCTTGAGGGCCAAGGACATAACTCAGTGATAGAGCATGTGCTTATCATCCTTGAGGACCTAAGTTCGATTCCCAGCACCAAAAAAGAAAAATAGCTATTTTGTAGGATTGTGATAGGGTTATGTGAGACAATTTATTTAAGTCCCTGGGAAATCTCCATAAAAGGTAAGACTAATTTTTGCCTGCTTGTCTTGGAGAAACTCAAGAGGACGGACCCAGAGGACTAAGGGGAGTATTTCTTGGAAGAAAGGAATGGTGGTGCCAGGCTGGGTGGATGGTAGGTAGGTAGAGATTGCTGGTGCCTGAGTCTGGCTTTGGCCCCTCCTGTCCTGCAGCCAGCGGTATTGTGTCTGCAATCCAGCCTTGGTGCGCCAGTTCCGGAACCCAGATACCATCTTCATCCTTGCTTTTGCCATCATCCTCCTCAATACTGACATGTACAGTCCCAGCGTCAAGGCTGAACGCAAGATGAAACTAGATGACTTCATCAAGAACCTGCGAGGTGAAGTGACCAGAGTTTCCCATTGGGTTTTCCTGCCCTTCGTGTAGGAAGGGAAAGTGGGCAGGGTGGAGGGGTGGGGATGGGTGAGGGAGATACCTACTGTTTTGGGGAATTAACTATGGTGTTGTCACCTCCTGCCAAGTCTACAGCTTCCCAGGGCATTCATCCATTAATGGACTCAAACAGTCATTTGCTGGGTTGGGGGTGCAGCTTAGTGGTAGAACCCTTGCATTCATTGCATGTGCAAGGCCCTGGCTTAATCCCCAAAACTATATGTTGTATGTATGTGCGCGCACGCGCACACACACACACACACAGGCGCGCGCGCACGCGCGCGCAGTAGCAGTTTACCCATGTACTCATCCACGTACTGAATAGTTACTGAAGTTCTCCTCTGTACCAAGATTATAAGTCTTGGGGTTATAGCAGTGAACATGATAGATGAAGATCTTGGTTCTTCACTCACTTGTCTTATTCATTGCTTCCTCTCTCCTCATCATCCTTATTTATGTTCATAAAGACTCAATTAGTTTAGGTACCTTTCCACCATGCATGTATTTATTTATTCATTCAGCCAACAAACTAGCTATCTAGTAGACACTTTCTGAGTACTTACTGTGTGCCAAGTCCTATATGAGTGCCAAGGGCAATAGAGGCGTCTACCATAGTCCCTGCTCTGAGAGAGCTCCCCACATGTGGGAGAGATTGACTGTAGTGCCTCGATTACCAACATAATACAGAGTGAACCATGATGTCAGACCAAAGTGTAGTCAAAGCTCAAAAGAGGGAGACACCAACGCCAACTGGCTTCCTGCAGGATTTCATGTTAAGGTGAGCCCCGAAAGCATGGATAAGGTAACAGGAATAGGGGAGGTGACAGGAATTAGGGGAGGGCTTATCTAGTAGGAAGAACCACAAAGGTACCCGGGAAGAAAATGTAAAGTTGCTTAGAGAACAGTAAAGATGGGGTAGATGATTGGGAAGGTCAGATGGAACCACTGTCTGAGGACCTTGAATGCCAGATGAAAGATGTCATTTTTTTCTTGGTTTTATTGTATGGATGTTAAACCCCCGTCTGTCGCCAAAGAGCAGCTTACTGAAAATGGCACAGATGTTAAGGTTATTTCCATGGAAATTAAAGAGGGAATAAAGGAGAAAGAAAAAACAAGACAAGTTTCAGTTCTACACCATGATAGCTTTAAGTTCTCTGGCAGCTAAGGTAGCAAAGCGGTGAGGAATGTTCCTCTAGCACCTGTCCAAGGAGAAAGTGTGGCATTTCTGAAGGAGACATCTTTTTCCCTAGCAGAAGGTTTAGATGAGTGAGTGGGTTTCACTCAGCAGACAATCAGGAGTAGAGAAGGGGGGTAGACTGGGAATGAGGGAGTTAGATCAGAGGCCATCTGGAGCTGTCTCCTAGAATACTGCCATTATTCATTTATCCACCCTCAGCATTATCTCTCTGTATGTGTATACAGTTGGCCCTCCTTTTCTGTGGGTTCCACATCTGTGAATTCCACCAGCCACAGATCAAAACTATTTAAAAAATTCATCCATACTAAACATGTACAAACTTTTCCTTTTCTTTATTTCCTAAAAGATACAGTATATCAACTACTTACAAAACATTTACATTGTATCAAGTGCTACAAGTCATCCAGAGATGATTTAAAGTATATGGAGGGTATGTGTAAATTTTATACAAATACACCATTTTATACAAGGGACTTAACGTCTTCAGATTTTGGTATTGATGGGGTGTCCTAATTTCCCATGGATATGGAGGGACCAATTTTGTGTGTGTGTGTGTGTGTGTGTGTTTTCTCCCCTCTGATTATTGAAGCAAATAACAAGCAAACAAATGAGCAAAATAGTACATACTCATTTCAGAATTTTGGGGGGCTAAGGATATGGTCAAAGATAGAGTACATGCTTAGCATGCATGAGAACCTGGGGTTGACCCCGGCACTACCAAAAAAATTTTTTTTTGGAAAAGTATTAGCTGAGCCGGGCATGGTGGCGCACGCCTGTAATCCCAGCACTCAGAAGGCTGAGGTAGGAGATCGCTGTGAGTTCGAGACTAGCCTGGGCTACATAGTGAGTTCCAGGTCAGTCTCAACTACGTAGTGAGACCCTGTCTAAAAAAAAATTAGCTGAGTTTGATGACATGCCCTTGTAATCCTAGTACTCGGGAGGCTGAGGCAGGAGGATTGCCATGAGCTCAAGACCAGCCTGAACTACAAAAAAATAAAAATATATAAAGTTTATTTTAATTAAACCCAAATTCTGCCCCCTTGAGGCAACTATGTTTAGTATAGTAAGTCCTCAATTTAGGAATACTGGAGATGTGGACTTTCAGATATGAACAGACCTCACATTAAGAACATTCGTAGACACAAACAGTTTGCAGAAGTAGCTGACATTGTCACAGTTTGCTGCTGTGTGCTTACTGTACAATGGGATAGTGTACAGTATAATAGTATAGTCAAGGATTTACTGTATTTGTGTGTGTGTTTGCGTTTTTTTATGCTTTACATTGTATATTTGTGTCAACGTTGTACAAGACTCACATTGTCAGACTTAAAAATGAATCCAACTTAATGGATTACTATATTTGGCTGAACTCTCATCTTTTTTTCCATCCACATATAGCTTTTTTGTAGCTTTTTAAAGGTGAGATCATGCAATACATGTAACTTATCTTTTTTCACTAACTACAAGAATTTTCTCATGTTATTGAAATAATTTTGTAAACATCGTTTTTAATAGCTGTGTATCATTTTATTAAGCAGATGTACTATCGTTTACCTATTTCTCTATTGTTAGAGCTTAGATTGTTTCAGAGTTTTCCTGTAAATATGACTTAGTGAACATTCTTGGATATATTTCTTACACATATTTCCAAGTAACTCTCAGGCCAGATTCCTAGAAAATGAATCACTGGTCTGAAGATTTAGGCTCTTTCCAAATCACCTTCCAAACTAGTTATGTTAGTATACATGACCACTTCCCCATACTCTTATTAACTTTGGACATTATTTAAATTATTTTTGCTAATTGAAAAGGCAAAAAATAGTACCTATTTTGATTACAATATGTTCTGAGTTGTTCAGACCAAATCTGTAACATGGAGAAGAAAACACCTGACTGTTTTGTTGAAGGGCACCTTTCCTGCCCTGATCCTGGATGAGGGACCAAGGATACTCATTGACCCTTAGTCCTATTATCATGGCCCATTCATACGTGTGGAGTGTTGTAGAGATTCCCTACCATCTGCTCCCCACATTTATGGGACATATCCCTGTGTTACTCCTCCCCCATGCAGGGGTTGACAACGGTGAGGACATCCCCCGAGACCTCCTGGTAGGCATCTACCAGCGCATCCAGGGGCGTGAACTGAGAACCAATGATGACCACGTGTCCCAGGTGCAGGCTGTGGAGCGCATGATTGTTGGCAAAAAACCGGTAAGTGCCTTGGGAGGCTGCAGAGGACCAGGCTTCCGGTCTGCCTTCAACACTGAGTAGTGCTAAGTCACTGCCCATCTCTGAGTCCCAGGTTCCCCTTACCTGCAACATGGAATGGGTGATAATGACAGACCATATCAGGAGATCATGGCACAGATGATATGAGATACCCAATATGAATGGGTCTAGCACATTGCAAGACCCATAGGAGGTGCTGTTTAAATTAGCATCCTGCCCACCTCTGATTTTGCCTACCCATCCCAATTGAGGTGCCAAATTAATATTTTAGCTGAGATGCAAAGCAAGAATACACTTTGGTCAATAAACATTTATGAAAGCTTTTCCACTGAGCCCAGCATTTCACTGAGCATCAGAGACATAGATATTAGACGTGGCCTCTGTCCTTGGAGATATCAGAGACCAATGGGATTGCCAAATAGAGACACAAATAATTCTCCTGCCTTTTGTGCTAGTATAGGGGAGCAGAAAGGAGAGAGAGGCCATTTTAAACTTCAGGAAATCAGGGAAGGCTTCTTGGAAGAGATCTCTTTGGAAGTGGGGTTTGAAGGATGGGTAAAAGGCAGTCAGCTTGGCAAGAAAGGCATTACAGACAGAGGGTACTGCGGGGACAAAAGTAAGGTGGCAAAAAGCTTCAGCCTTAGTTGCTTGTACTCGTGTCAGAGCAATGCATACATATCATGAGTACACTTCCTCTTGTGGTTGAATGTTACAGTGCTGATTGGCTGGCCTTGCTGACACCTGTTTCTCCATTCCTCTCCAGGTCCTGTCTCTTCCTCACCGCCGACTGGTTTGCTGTTGCCAGCTCTATGAGGTGCCAGATCCAAACCGCCCCCAGAGGCTAGGGCTGCATCAGCGGGAGGTCTTCCTCTTCAATGATCTCCTCGTGGTATGGGCACTGTGTGAGAGGAGATGGGAGGGAGATACCCAGCCTGGCTCTGGGTCTGCAGTGAACCATGTGGACATTGGTGTGTGGAGCAGCAAGTGATACGGTCTGCCGTGCGCTGCATGGTCTCCGGCAAGGCACAATCCTTTCCTGCCCTTCCTTTTCCTCATGGGTCCATTTGGAGGCTCTTAAAGCCACTTAAAGGCAGGAAATGTGAGGGCCAGGGTATATGCAGACTTGCAATCTGTAAAGTGGTAGGCAAAGTCTGTCCACCTCAGTAACCTGAAGGGTTGGGTGGGAAGAGGTGAACCTGTGACCTGGAGTCAGTCTGAATCCTTGGAGTGGTCCTGATGCTAGGAGTGATTCTTAAAACCAAACTTATCACCAGCACAGAGATGTTCATCTTTTAGGGATGAAACTTGTAGGACTGTAGATTAGAAGGGACTTTCAGCATCTCTTGGACAGAAACCAGCATCCTAGATAGCCCATCTGAGTGAAGAGACTCCTCCAAGGCAGCCAGTTGCCCATCAGGCAGCTCTGACTCCTAGAATCAGTGCCCCTGTAAGTTGCCTCCAACAATTATCATTTGACCCATGGGTCTCACAGAAGTGTTCTACCTTTGCTCCAAGGTAGCTCTTCAGAAATTTGAGGACAGTGATCTTGGCCCTCCTTGACCTTCTCTCTTTGAGATCAGGGTTTCTCTTTCTCAGCCTTGTTGAAATTTGGAGACAGATAATTTCTTGGCGGGGGGCGCTGTCTTGTGTATTGTAGGATATTTAGCAAGACCTTGATCTCTACCTATTAGATGTCAGTAGCACTCCTTCAACCAAAACTGTGTTCTCCAGAAAAAAGTAAAAAACAGAAGAGGGGAGAAGGGGAGAGAAGGAGGGAGGAAAGAAGAGAGGGAGGAGGGAGGGAAGGAGGAAAAGGAGGAGGGAAGGGAGGAGGAAGGGA